ATCTCAACGTTCGGAACTCGGTGTACAAGGCTGATGCCGAGCATAGCGCGCTTCATGGCCCTCTGTGCAACTCTCAACCTGTATACAGTCTCCTGTGTGAGCGTCCACATCTCGTCACCATACGTCATGGCGGGCAGAACACATTGATTAAACAAGCGGGTCTTCAGACACTGTGGAACCTTACCTGATTTAAGGATGTCACCTGACTTGCTAAACGCATCCCATCCCAGCTGGATTCTTTTTGAGATCTCTTTAGGCTGATGCTCTTTGCCAAAGGATAGAACATGTCCGAGACAAACGTACTGATCGACTCTCTCCAGCCTCTCATTTCCCACCGTGACAGTGGTATTTGACGGACTGGAGGGATTCGCCATAATCTTCGTCTTGGTCATATTCATCCTTAGGCCAACTCTCAAAGAAGCATCATAAATTTGTTCCAGCATCCTTTGGAGATCATCGAAACTTGCAAATAGCACGAGATCGTCCGCGAATCTTAGGTGAGACAAATGGTGTTACACCATTGATGTTAATGCCGCGGTTATCCCATTTAAGGGTTTTTACGACATCCTCAAGTCCTCGTCGGATTGGAACGGGATTGGTTAAATCGTGAACTCGTACCTGCAGAGCGGCTGAACGGTAGAGCTCCCGGGGCACATCCACGTAGCGGGAATCGATGTGGCAGCGATGAAGAGCGTGGAACACGGCCCAATGTTTGATACTGTCAAAAGCCTTCTCATAATCGAAGGCCATGACAAGGGGCCGGTTATATTCGAGACATTTCCCCATCAGCTAATTAACCGTGTGGATATGGTCGATGGTTGAGAAGCCGCTCCGAAAGCCAGCCTGCTCAATAGGCTGCGCTTCGTCAAGTTCACTGGTAAGCCAGATGGTCAAAATCTTTATAAATAGTTATAAATCTGAGAGAGCAAAGTTTTGCAATGTCGCCTTTTTTGTGGATGGTGGTGACGATGGCATTCTTCCATTGCTCTGGTGTTCGAGCTTCATGAAGAACTTTGTTGAAAAGTTTCACAAGCACTTTTACCACAGGATTTCCTCCTGCTTTGAGTAGTTGGACTGAAACACCATCATCTCATCATCATCAGATGATGGTGTTGATAAGGCACTGAGTACTAATTTAGAGTTATTACTTTTTCTTCAAATAACCTGAAGAATGAGCCAGTCCTTTTGAACAATTTCGTAATGTACACGTTTAATTTGAATATTATTACCGGTAGCTTTTAACGCCAGATGGTGAAATCAATGTCAGTAATGTCATTCCCAAACGACACTGATTGATCTGTAGTTGTCTTTAAAAATCCTCCAACTACATCCGGGGCACCCGCGATTATTGCGAATGTGGCCATGGCAAGGGTGCCCAGGAGTTGAAGGATTATTAAATAGAACTGCAGATCAAAGTGTCATTTGGGAACAACATTACTGATATTGATTCGTTTATCTGGCATTGAAACCTGCCATTGATAAAATTAAAATTAAACCTGTAGAAAATTACGAAATTGTAGAAAAGACTGGCCTTGGTTTCCTGGTAACATGAATTTTCTTCAGGTTGTAAATAAATTTTATTGAATGTCAAGATGTTTCACCACTATGATATTCAATTATTTTTTGTGAAATTACTCCACTAGTTAGTTATAATTGTTGTTAAAAAGTTGTTATTTCTTCAGGTTATTTGGAAAAAGTAACAACTCTAAATTAGCATTCTGTGCCTTATTTTGCATCAAGCCTCAATGTCTCGATAAACCCACCGCATGTCCTCATGGTAAACATTTGAGTTTCTACAATTTATCTTCAGAAAACATTACTAAAAAACTAACTTTAAAAAAATTAAAAGCTTAAAAATCAAACCGAGACGATTAAATTGTGATAAAATAATGACAAAATTAATCTCATAATTTGGTTTCAGAATACGACCTTAGGATAAAACAAAAATTGAGAACAAATGGAGCCAGGAAAACTGAATATTTTTTGTCGCACGTGCCACCAAAGGGCATATAATGACTTTTTTGGCGGGAAATGGAACACAGTGCCCATGTTTTTCGATGGCAGGTCCTTATACACGACTAAGGCTTGCACGGGGCAAGAACGTAATGGTTTTTAGTTAAACTACTTACCAGTTGCAACCAGTTGAATATTTGCCACCAAAACTACAATTTTCGCGTGGACAAAGTTTGATCAAGTACCCAGTCTCCCACATACTGGTAATTGCAATACTTTCAATGATTTTAGTTAGTGCTTCTAATAGTGAATAACATACATGGAATTGTTTTTCTTAAAAGCGTACACATTTTACCAGAACGACTATTTTACACAATGAAACAGAAAGTGGACACTCCAGCAAAATTGAAAATCGGGACATTAATATTTTTTACTAATTATTATTGTACAATGAATTTTCTGAAATTCTTGCCCTAAACTCATTTTACGTCTAATTAGACTATAAAAAAGAAATCATTAATATTTCTTCACTTTACACCTGGTTTCTCAGCCTGGACTCGCAAAATTTACCCATGAGATATTCACCCAGTTATTACTTCCTTTATTGCTGGCAAAATTAACTCTTCTTCGATGTTCTGTGGTTGCCTTTTTGAGCAATTAACAAGGAGATATTGTACGAAGCTCGAAGTCCGTCGTCATTTTCCTTAGCAGTCGCCGAAAAGAGTTTTGCTACACTTGGCTGAGTATTATGATTCTTCTCTAGGTCTTGAAAATATGTTACATTCTTGTCTTTCTTATCTGGATGCATTTTATTCAAATGATCTTGCAGTCTTGAAGGCTTCATTGCTTCATTCGAAAATGTTTTTAGACATAGAAGGCACAAAGGCGACGATGGGTTTGTGGGATTTTCAATGAATCCGAATTTAATATATTCCGCACAGTATTGCCGTCTCTTCTTTTTTACTTCCGACATTGTTTTGTTTTGAGAAATACGTAAGTAAGAGTTGAACTTAAATACTGCTTATCTATTACGTGCGAAACCGCAAATGAAAATAAAATAAATATTATATAGGATTGCATAAGCAGCACGCACCGACAGGAATAAGACAAACATACATGAATTCGTTTATCCCATTCGACGCTCAATCGTACTCAACAAGTAAGAACAAGTAATTTATGAACCAGCCGGTTGATACAGGAATGCACAAATCGGGTTATTTAACAAAAACTTGTTAAAACATTATTGCCCGCGGTCTATTATCTACGAAAATTCTAAATTTAGGAATAAAATTAAAATTAAATCTAGGAATACTAATAACTATTAAAATGCGAAACTGATTGACATGATTTTTATTTTATTTATTCAATAAAACATGTTCACAAGTTGTAGTCGAGAGTCGAGAGCTCAGTCGGTGTCTAAGAGTCTTCCTAGATGAAATTACAAATCTCCCCCTTAGCCTCTACACAACGCCCCCATTTTTTTTCTGGGTCTCTTACCGCCCTTTAGGCCTGCAGCGCCCAGAAGGGGGCGTTATCGCTCACTTTGGGAAAGGCTGGTTTAGAGTGACAATTCTAAGGCTGTCTAGTACGAAGGAAAATCAATCGACGATGTAACCTGGCTTTGTAATTCGAACTTATTGTTAGTGTCTATTTAATTAAAATATACCTACATAAGACGACATAATTTAAGTACTGAAGCTTTGTGTTTCTTCTCTATCTAATTAAAAGCGATAAATGGCACCAACACGAGTATACTAAAACACCTATGGTAAAGTGTTCGATTTAAATATGCTTACCGTATATTATAATATGATAAAAAACTCTATCGTTACATTACAAACTCGATCATCGCTCCATAGGTTTTGAATTTAGGACCAGTATGGAACAATTCGGAGCGATTTATGTTTGATAGTCAATGGGAAACCAGTACCGATAACGGAAACAGATTCATTAAGAGGAGTAGGTACCGACAGCGGAGTAAGGTTCAGTGAGTCAAATCACTTTTCGGAGTTGAGATTACCGATGTCTGTGTCGCGATCTCTGCGGTCCCGGGAAAAACTAAATTTTCTATATTGTCTCAGTTCTGTGTGTTTATTTTCTTTAGTTACTTTGGGATCAGAGCGACGTATGTGATGTGGTTTCTTGTAAGAAAAATAATTTTAACGTGTTGATGAATTTGTTATTGGAGGCACAAGATATGAATTTGTATTTTAAAGTGTTAAGGATATCTAATTTGGTATGGAAATTATTAATCGTTATTATTGTATTATTATTGCTATTTTTCATTAACGACTTCTTAATATTGTGCATGTTCGGTCTCGTATTAGATTTAAATTTTTTTATGATGTATTTTTTTCCAACACAATAACTATTTTTAGGGAAATAAATAAATAAATAAAAATGTTGTCTAATGTTCATTGTTTTTTATATAATTATTTATGCTGTCAATTCGTACGAAGCGTTTTGCTTTTTCAGTCATACGAGAACAGTTAAGGAAAGAGGTACTCCTCTGCGCTGTGTCCTGCATTTCCCGGTTAATACAACTTACGCGATCTTCAAGATTCGAGAGCAGGTATTTGATAGGTGTAACGTCCTTGTATACAAATTCACTTTCCTATTAGGTTGTGTCCCAATTTCAACCTGAAAGGTCGACCTTCATTAAGGTCAGGTCAGGTCAGGACGTGATGGACAGGATATAATATAAAAACGTTACCCTGTGGTTGGAGATTTACATCAATGGGCAAAATTATGTCCTTAGCACGTACTAAGACTTACAGTCCAAAGTCGTATGCATTTATTTAAGTACAATTTTTCTAACCGCAAACTGTACAATTTACCCTAACACAAATAGTAGCACACAATAGTTAATTTAAAAATACTTGAATATTAAGTAGAGATTCCTAATCAATCGGATGTGGATAAATGCTATAAAAACTGGGGATCATATTGAAGTTGTAAGTAGTCCGAGGACGAATATTGTTGCGCTTAGTGCAGGCAGTACAGCTGGTAATCATGGCACCTACACCCCAGGAACAAGTGGATGGCCCAGAGATCGACGGGGAACGCATCGTCATCTCTGGCATGTCTGGACTGTACCCGCAATCCCATCATATCAAACATCTGGAGGATATTCTTTACAACAAGGTAGAGTTCGATTGGTACAATGATGTAGTGTTGACATATTTAAAATTATTTATGAAGTTCTTAGATTTTCGTGATTGGAAATGAAACGTTTTTAACCGATTTCCAAAAAAGGAGGAGGTTCTCAATTCGGTTGCTTTTTTTTGCGTATTTCACGCGAATACTCAGACATTTGAGAACCCATTTTGATAATCCTTTTTTTTGGAAAGGGGGTACCTCAATAGTGGTCTCATTGAAATTTGAAGAAAATATTCCTCTTTAAAGAGTGGCAAAATGGGTTGAATCCGCTTTATTGGATTTTACACACTTTCCGTTAACCAATTTCAATAAAACTTGGCAATTTGCCAAGTTCAAGCAAACTTTTGATTTCGTGGGTGCCATGGACACACACATAGGGTCGTATTCTAGAACTCTACTCAATACTCAGGTCAGGACTTGAGTATGAGTCAAAGCACTAGAAAGCATACTCAAGTCCTTGCCATTAGGGTCGTATTTCCAGTGCTTGAAATCATACTCAAGTCTGCTCAAATCCTGACTAGAGCATTGAGTAGAGTTCTGGAATACGACCCTAAGACAACCACAAATTACATCTATACTCACGAGGGAAATAAATGTAGGCCGTACAAATATTTCTCTCGGTCCAGGAATCGAACCCGCAGCCTCTGCGTGGCAGTCCTTCATGGTAACTGCGAACGGTTACCTGCCTCCGTGGCTACGGCCACAGTTACGGAGACAGTTACAAATGTAACTCAAACTAAGTATTTTAATATAAATTAATTATTCTTATAATTATAGTATATTTTAATTTAACCAAAGAAAATATTTGAATTACGCTCATGTCTACTTGAATACGTAGCGCTGCTCTAACCAACTGAGCTACAAGCCAAGTTATCGAGTTGTCGAAATTCTTCTATGTGATCTTTGTAATGGAGTTTTCGGCATTCATTCAGTGACATCTATTGAGAGATATTAGAACCTTCTCACCGCAGCCGGTGCCTTTCCCGGTGTCTCAAGACAACGTTCATGTCGCTTTTTGATCAATTAAAAATAACAAATTTTAATAACAAAAGGAACGTACAATTTCACAAGACAACTAATTGAAGTAAATAGTTTTGGAAGTCATGGCAGTGAAAAGCGGTGGCTCAGCATAAATACCGCAGTTTTTCACGGTTTTGGTATTCCGCCAGTGTTGAAAGAGAAGCCACTCATCATCTCAGACAGTCCTCTGGCGTTATCGTTACTGTGAGGTAGATTGGATATCTATGCGAGATAGACAGCACCCTACGAACATGGCTGCAAATGGTTCAAGGCAGGAATATTAGTATGCATAGAATTAAATTACTGCTCGAAACGTATCTAGAGACACTATATTAACATTTTGGAGTAAAAGAGGAACCCCTAGAGTGTTGTGCTCGTTCTTATCAGGGAAGTCAGCACATTGAATGTAAATTTATTTTATTTATGGAATAAACGATTTTTTTACTTTTGACTTTGACTTGGCAAGGTGCTCTTGAAACTTCTGAGGAAGTTGGGAATAAATGATAAGTATTATACAGTATATATAAGTATATAACTGCCTCCGTGGCCGAACGGCTACCATGCCGGACTGCCATGCAGAGGACCTGGGTTCGATTCACAGCCTGGCAGAAATATGTGTACGGCCTACATTTATTTCTCTCGTGAGTTTGGGTGTAATTTGTGGTTGTTTATGTGTGTGTCAATGGCACCCGCGACACAGAGATTCCCTAGTGCGGGGCTATGTTGAGTGTGTGCGTTATTATCCAATAAAATCATGTTTATTTATTAACTTTAGCCTTTGCAATATAGGCCATATGTCAGCCGTGATAAACAAGGACCTTTCTACCAAATTTCCCAGTAAATTTTGAAATTCGGGCGCCATTTCTGTCATCTTCCAGATCACGTTATAGCTTATGCTACAACGGGTATGTTCGCGTCGATGCCAAGGTGGACAGCGCTTAGATTAAGTTCACCTACCCTCATTTCCTTTAACATTTATATTGCTATCCTTTTTACTCTGCTGCAACCGAACTACTGTTCGTACTTGGGACAGTCTACAACTAACCGTGCTGGGTAACGTGCGTCTGCCTTGGACCACCCATTGACGCTCGTGTAGCCTGTGGATTCACCGCCATATTTGAAAACTTAACGCACTGTGCGTAGTCCTATTTCGCCCGTATGTGAAATACCGCTTGTGTTTTACTGTGTTATTGTACTGTATTCAAACATTGTTCGGTGATAAATCAAGTGATCATTATCGTAACTGGTAGTCTACTCTGGCTGCCACGGCGCCAACGGAATTACTTTAAATCACTCTTCTGTAATATTTTCCAAATACACTTTTCTGGCGTTTTACCTTTCCAGAGTCGACTTAAAGAAAAAAGTTTATTTTTTCTTCTTTTTCTAGAAAAACCCAGTTACTGCTGACAAATGTCGTTGGAATTTCAATCACCCCGAGGTATCTAATTACACGGGCAAGACGCCTGGACTGGATCGATTCGACGCGCAATTTTTTAAGGTCCATTATCGGCAGGCGCACGTTATGGACACCCTTAGCAGGAAGTCGCTGGAACAAGCTTTCCAGGCAATCTATGATGCTGGTTAGTAGATCGTATGACGTCTTCAGTTTAACATAAGTTTTGTAAGATTTATTGTCAGAAATTGCAATACGACTTTCTGACACATTTACTGATTATATATAATACAGTGCAGTACAGTACAGTACAGTACAGTACAGTACAGTACAGTACAGTACAGTACAGTACAGTACAGTACAGTACAGTACAGTACAATACAATACAATACAATACAATACAATACAATACAATACAATA